AAGAAGAAGAAGAAGAAGAAGAAGAAGAAGAAGAAGAAGAAGAAGAACTTTATTGTCATTGTACAAGTACAACGAGACTATAGATGCACTCCAGCAACTGTTTGCAATACAATAAAACCAGAGCACTTAAAAATGGAGATAAGAAAAATAGAGTACCCCAAAATAGAGTTCTGTCTTTCTATGAAAGATAGAAAGTAAAGTGCTAATAGATACAACACATTTGGGGGAAGGGCAAACAGTGGCAGAGTAGGCTTTGCGGACCAGCAGGGGTGGGGAGGATGGTTCTGTGTGAGTGGCAGGAAAGCGTGCATGCACACTGCTCACACAAGTGGGGATGTGTGTGTGTGCTCACCTGCCGCTTCCATGGCCCGGTTCTGAATGGCTCGCAGTCCGGTAGTGGCCTGTGACCCAAGGGTTGGGAACCCCTGACCTCGCTACTAATGTGAACGAAGGAAAAAGTTCACACATTCCAATTGTCTCAAAACACACCCTTGATAGCAATAGCAATAGTGCTTATATACCACTTTATAATGCTTTACAGCCCTTTCTAAGCAGTTTACAGAGTCAGCCTATTGCCCGCAACAATCTGGGTTTTCATTTTACCAACCTGGGAAGGATGGAAGGCTGAGTCAACCTTGAGCCTGGTGAGATTCAAACTGCCAAATTGCAGGCAGCCGGAAGTCAGCAGAAGTAGCCTGCAGTACTGCACTCGAACCACTGCGCCACCATGGCTCTTAAATGATCGTACCTGCAATGTGTTAGCTGATCTCACCTTTAAGTTAATGGGTATGAACACATTATATATTTTGGTTGAAGGCTGAAGCTGCGGAGGGATAAAGGTAAAGGTTTCCCTTGCCACATACATGCTACTAGTTTCCGGCTCTAGGGGGCGGTGGTGCTCATCTCCGTTACAAAGCTGAAGAGCCAGCGCTGTCTGAAGACGTCTCCGTAGTCATGTGGCTGGCATGACTAAATACCGAAGGCACACAGAATGCTGTTACCTTCCCACCAAAGTGGTCCCTATTTTTCTACTTGCATTTTTACATGCTTTCGAACTGCTAGGTTGGCAGAAGCTGGGACAAGTAACAGGAGCTCACTCAGTTACACGATGCTAGGGATTTGAACTGCCGAACTGCTGGCCTTTCTGATCGACAAGCTCAGTGTCTTAGCCACTGAGCCACTGCGTCCCTCCCTGAGGAGGGATAGTACTGGTTTAAAAGCGGGAGGGACTATTTTTACATCGGTAGACTTAGTGATAATTTAAGGCTACGTCCCATTATGGTATGGGCTGTGAATGAGATGAGGATAAGCTGTGTAACTAAGATGGGGTTGATGGAGCTTAATAGTGCTGTGAAAAACCGCAAGTGGAAACAGAGCCTAAGACGGACATCTGGAGCAAATCCAGGGGTGGGATTCTACTGGTTTGCACCTATTCTCTAGAACCGGTTGTTAACATTCGAAGCAGTTCGGAGAACCGGTGGTTAGAAGAAATTACTGGCCTAATACTGTAAGGAAGGCAGGAAAGAAACATTCTGGTGTTGCTTACAGAAACTGCCTCTCCGTTAACCCTTATTACATTCTTGCCAGGAATAGACTTCCTGTCTCAGGAACTGCCCTGGAGTTATTTTTCCCTCCTTTGCTGGTACTTTGCTTGTGTGGAGTGACCATTCAAAGTTACAATGGCACTGAAAAAAGTGACTTATGACTGTTTTTCACACTTACGACTGTTGCAGCATCCCCACAGTCATGAGAGGCCAGGCGAGGAGATGCATGCCTCAATGTGAGTGATGTTGAGTTGGCCACGGCCAGACAATCACATGACCACCAAGCCACGCCCACCAACTAAGCCACGCCCACAGAACCGGTTGTTAAAAACATTGAATCCCACCCCTGAGCAAATCTATTTGCTCAGCCTCATAAATCAGCGTTCTAGGCTAGGGAAAAATACCTCAGAGGGGGTGAACATGAACAGATATGGCAGAATAGTTACATTTATCAATAATTCTCAGTGCATGGGGGAAGTAAAATAATGGACAGAAGATGGCTCTTCAAAAATAATATAATGAAAAAGAAACATGTAAAGAAGCGACTCCCAACCCTCATTACAACATGTATAAACGATTTTAGTAATTTTACACAGGGCTTCTGTGAAGAACAACACAAGGAAGCTTCCAGTAGCCCAGAATGCAGCAGGGCACTGCCAGTTTGCTTCAAGTGTCATTTAGGTATGCCCTATAAAGCCCTACAAAGCACAGGGCAAATCTGAGGGGCCACCCATCTTCTGTGGTGTCTACCCAGCTGATCTAAGAGTTAGCATGCTCCAGATTTATTTGATTAGGCAGTGCCATCTATGAGGACTTCAGAAGCATATCCCGTTGTGGCACTTGACCCTTAAAATATGATTCCCCCAAGATCTGAGTGGCTCCTACCCAGATGCCTTAAAGACTCCTTGTTTTGTCAGGCCTTGAGCTAGTGTGACTTGGTCTGTTTGCATAACTCTCTGTATTATTGACCATGTCCATCATTTTCTTATTTCTTTACACTATACTTTTATCCTGCTTTGTTACATTGTGAGCTGTCCAGAATTCTTCTGAAGTTGGTGGTGCCTAGATTGACTGATTACTGATTGACTGACTGACTGACTGACTGACTGACTGACTGACTGACTGACTGATGAATGAATGAATGAATGAATGCATGCATGCACGCATGAATGAATGATGTTTGTGTAACGTGCCAGAGCCAATGGCTGTTTTATGTACATAGGATTACATTACTCTAATCAACAAGTATTTTATTTGACCAACAATTTCAAAGCAGCACACTAGGAGTGTCAGATCTTTGCCATCTCTAAGGCCTCTCTAGCATCAGCCATTCAAGGGGATGACTCCTGAAAATACTTTCCCACACGCATACTCACAGTGTCTGAACTGGCAGGAGACAGCATGTTGGCAGGATTGCTGATCAAACTGAAGAGCTGGTCAGCTCGCCACTGGTCAGCGGAATGGTTTCGACGGACAAACAGGAAGTGGAGTGAAAGAAGTGCATGGCTCACAGTCTGGGAAGAAAAAAATGATTAGCAAGTTTAGAAAGGAATAGCATGAAGGGAGAGTGAGAGCAAAAGGGCAAGACCATGTATCATGTTGGCAAATTTGCATTCCTAAATCACACATGCAGAGATAATGCAGACGCACAAGGCACCTGACCGGGAGGTAAGCAGAATAAAAGACTAAAGACCATTCACATTCTCATTTTTTCTCAGACTTCACCACAAATGGAGATAAAGCCATTCACTGAGGAGAACTAGCAAATGGGAAAAGAATTAAAGGAGTTGCAATAATTCTGTAATTACCGCAACTGACATACAAAAACACAATCCCAGATAATAACTTCTGCTCAGAAATAGCTAAAACCTATCACCCCATCAGTAATCCCAAAACATAAAGACTGGATTTATAATTTAAGCTTAACTAGGGTTTGTTGAATATGTACCTCAAAGGACTAGATTTATGTAACCACACAGCACCTCACCTTGGTATGAGGTCCAAACTCCTCCAGCAGTTTGCGCAAGGGATTTTCGTACTCAATGATCATCTGACCCAATCGACGGAAGCTAGAATCACTGAAGTCAGACAAGCAATGAATTATTTTATTACACAAAATAATTGGTGAAGCTCCAATTGTAGACTCTGGGCAGTCAATCTACAGTATAAAACTACCTGCCAGATATAGACTTAAGTACCTCCTCAGACACTGCTCACCTTACTCTACTCGTTGCAGAATACCTTATGCCACCAGACTTGAAATTCTAGAACTAGAAAACCTTGAATTACGCCGTCTTCGGTCTGATTTAAGCATGGTATATAAAATCATACATTGCAATGTCCTACCTGTCAATGAATACTTCAGCTTCAACCATAACAACACAAGAGCACACAATAGATACAAACTCAAAGTTAACCGCACCAAACTTGATTGCAGGAAATACGACCTCAGCAACAGAGGGGTCAATGTCTGGAATACTCTACCCGACTCTGTGGTTTCTTCCCCAAACCCCAAAAACTTTAACCTTAGACTGTCTACTATTGACCTCACCCCTTTCCTAAGAGGTCTGTAGGGGGCGTGCATAAGCGCACCAACGTGCCTACTGTCCCTGTCCTATTGTTTCTCTTATTCTTCTTTTATTTTTCTTATATGTACCCATTTCATGTATTCACAACTATGTATACACTTATACTTATTATCTTGTAAACAATTGGCAAATCAAATAAATAAATAAATAAATAAAAAATAAATAAATAGATAAATACAGAGTGCCTTCATGGAAGCTGCCTGGACATTTCACACAACATCTGAGTCCATACATGTGCTAATGCACAGTTTGTTTAAATACTGAATAAAGCAAGGCAATCAAACCGGTCATTCCTAGAGGAGATCAACCCTGACTGCTCTTTAGAAGGCCAGATCCTGAAGATGAAACTCAAAATACTTTGGCCACCTAATGAGAAGGAAGGACTCACTGGAGAAGAGCCTAATGCTGCAAAAGATTGAGAGCAATAGAAGGGGACAACAGAGAATGAGGTGGCTGGATGGAGTCACTGAAGCAGTAGGCATGAGCTTAAATGAACTCCAGAAGATGGTAGAGGACAGGAAGGCCTGGGGGAACGTTGTCCATGGGTCAGACATGACTTCGCAACTAACAACAACAAAAAAGCAAAAATGAAGTGGGCTTCCGCAACATGCTAAGCCGTAAACTATGTTTCTCAAATCACAATACGTAAGTTCATAGAATCCAAGTGATGTAGCAGTTAAGGCAGCAGAAGCGGGAATTTTAGCAGAAACCATTTGCATAAGAAAACTATCTTTGCTAGCTTCCTGTTCTGTGCTACTGGGGATGGGGAGAATGAGGCAAGAGCCCCATCCTTTTTTGCATCCATCACTTTCTCAGTGCTTAAACATTATTGATTGCCATTAGAAACTCTGCATGGGATGCAGGAAGAGATCATTGGACCAAGTTTTCAGTTCCTCCCAAGTATGGAAGCTTTGGATGTCTTTGGACCATGTAATCTCTCTCAGCCCAACTTATCTTGCCAGATTACTCTTGTATGGAAACTTGAAGAGGAAATATTGTATATATCACCTTGAGCTCCCAGAAGAGAATGGGATACAGAGCTAACCATGAACATCACACTATCTACATGTAAAAAGGCAAAGGTAAGGGTTTCCCCCTCCAGTCATATCTGACTCCAGGAGGTGGTGCTCATTTCTGTTTCTTAATCGAGAGAGCCAGCATTGTCTGAATACATTCTCATGGTCATGCGGTCAACATGACTATACGCCAAGATGCATGGAATGATGTTACCTTCCCACCGAAGTGGTACTTTTTTTTATCTACTTGCATTTGCATGTTTTCAAACTGCTAGATGGGCGGGAGCTGGAGCAAGTAACAGGAGCTCATCCCATTGCGCAGCACTTGGGTCTCAAACCCGGACTGTCAGTTTGCCAGCTGACAAGGTCAGTGTCTTTAACTGCTGAGCCACCATGCCCTCATCCACATGTATTTTAGAACAATAAATGCAGCCTATTATATTTCTCTTGACATTGGTTTCTACATAATCTTGTCTCCAAACAATGAGAGTACAGTTTTGCTGATCAAGAGTCAGCCTTAATGTATTGACCATATCAAGCTTTATGCTAGAATTACGTTGGGGTGGGATGGGTTAGCTACAGCTATATACTCTAGTGCTGGAGAAATGGGGGGTCATCTATAGCTTCTAAATAGCAGATGAAGCAAATACAAGCATGACTGGCAGCTGGGGGTGAGGGGCACAAATCCTTCTGCTGAAGGAGGTAGTTCTCATTTTATTGATTATATATTGATTGATTTTATTCATTAGTGCTTGACTGGTGTTTATCTACCCCACAATAGGAAGCTGAATGAATGCTCCTGGCAGAATAAAACAACATGGAAAGCAAATATTCCACCAAAATTGGCAAAAATACAATGAACTCGCTCCAGGTAATATAATCTTAGCCTGAATAGATAGACTCCAACCTGATTCCATGGATCATTTCATGGGTGCAGTGATGCAAACCAATCAGGACTTTACGATCATCAATACGGGAAAGAAGTACAATGACAGAAACATAGGTGACAATCAGGTCCAGGTAGTTCTTGGTGAAATCATAATTCACATTCTGCAGAAAAAAAGAATACATATAACTGAATTGGAGGGAAGAAAAAGGAAAGACTGAGCTAGCATTTCCTCACACCTTTCACAGTTTCTCAGTCCTGCTGGCAACCAATCAGAATAGAGCTGGAAGGGACTTTGGATGTGTGTATGTGTGTGTGTGTGTGTGTGTGTGTGTGTAATAAATATATTAGTATTAATGTGAGGTTTCTGCATATAGTTCCAGTGATGGGAATGATCAACAAGTCATGGAATCAATCATTAACCAATTCATCACTCTCCACTTAGAGTCAAACAACCTACTCTCCAAAAAACAATTTGGTTTCAGGAAAAAATTACACTGCAAAAACATAAGGACTACTCTACTTGACCAGGGTAAAACTATAGACACAATTTACATAAACTCCTGCAAAGCCTTTGATTCAGTGGTACATGACAAACTACTGTTAAAACTAAACTCTTACGGCATTTCCGGATTCCTCCATAAGTGGATTACTGCGTTCCTGTCAAACAGGCAACAAATAATAAAAATAGGGAGCGCTATATCAAACCCTTCTCCAGTTAACAGCGGTGTTCCCCAAGGCAGTGTTCTAGGACCCACACTCTTTATACTCTATATAAATGACCTTTGCAATCACCTTATAAGCAACTGCGTCCTCTTTGCAGATGACGTAAAACTATTCAACACTACTGACAATGCTACTATTCTTCAAAGCGACCTTGATTATGTGTCTGAATAGTCAAATATCTGGCAACTCCAAATCTCGACCAACAAATGCTCTGTCCTACACATTGGTAAACTGTAACAGCATTGCCAAAAAGGCACTAAGAGTTGTAAATCTAATCTTACAAAGCTTCTCCTCTGGAAATATCGAATTGCTAACTAGAGCATACAAAACTTTTGCCAGACCAATACTCGAATAATAATAATAAATCATAAATAAATAATAAAGTAATAACTAACAGCACGGGTTTGTTAAAAACAGATCATGCCAAACCAATCTTATTTCATACTTCAACACAGTGACTAAATTAGTAGACCAGCAAAATACTGTGGACATAATATATTTAGATTTCAGCAAGGCATTCAACAAAGTAGACCATAACCTACTTCTTAGTAAGCTAGAAAAAAGTGGAATAAATAGCACCACCACTAGATGGATTTGCAACTGGCTGGGAAACTGGACTCAACAAGTAGTCCTTAATGTGTCTAAGTCTACATGGAGGGAAGTAAGCAGTGGGGTGCCACAAGGTTCCGTCTTAGGCCCAGTACTCTTCAATATCTTCATTAATGACTTAGATGAGGGAATAGAAGGGGAACTTACCAAATTTGCAGATGATACTAAGCTGGCAGGAAGAGCTAACACCCAAGAAGATAGGCCCAAGATCCAGATGGATCTTGACAGACTACAACACTGGGCCATATCTAATAAAATAAAATTCAATATAGAGAAAAACAAAGTCCTACACTTAAGCAAGAAAAACCAAAAGTACACATATAGACTGGGTGAAACCAGGCTCAATAGCAGTAACTGTGAGAGGGATCTTGGAATCTTAGTGGACAACCAGCTAAATATGAGCCAGCAGTGTGCAGCAGCCGCCAAAAAAGCTAATGCAATCCTAAATTGTATTAACAGAGGGATACAGTCAAGATCAAGGGAAGTACTAATACCACTCTATAAAGCCTTAGTAAGACCACACCTAGAGTACTGCATCCAGTTTTGGTCACCACATTATAAAAAAGATGTTGAGACTCTAGAAATAGTACAGAGAAGAGCAACCAGGATGATTAGGGGACTGGAGGCTAAAACATACAACGAACGGTTGCAGGAACTGGGCTTGGCTAGTCTAGTAAAGAGAAGGACCAGGGGAGACATGATAGCGGTCTTCCAATATTTGAGAGGCTGCCACAGGGAGGAAGGGGTGAAACTATTTTCTAAAGCTCCTATAGGCCAGATAAGGAATAATGGATGGAAACTGAACAAGGAGAGATTTAATCTGGAAACAAGGAGAAACTTTCTGACAGTGAGAACAATCAACCAATGGAACAGCTTGCCCTCGGAAGTTGTGGGAGTGCCATGAGACTTTCAAGAAGAGACCAGACTGCCATTTGTCAGAAATGGTGTAGGGTCTCCCGCTTGGGCAGGGGGTTGGACTAGATGACCTACAAGATCCCTTCCAACTCTGATTATCTGTAATCTGTAATCTGAATACAGCTCATCAGTCTGGAATCCACACTGCATATCAGACATTAATACAATCGAGCAAATCCAGAAGTATTTCACGAGAAGAATACTACACTCCTCTGCTCGCAGCAGAATACCCTATATCACCAGGCTTGAGATTTTGGGCTTGGACAACCTTGAACTACGCCACCTTAAGCGTAGCACACAAAATTATCTGCTAAAATGTCCTACCAGTCAATGACTACTTCAGCTTCAACCACAACAATACAAGAGCACACAACAGATACAAACTCAATGTAAACCACTTCAAACTTGATTGCAGAAAGTACGACTTCAGCAACAGAGTGGTCAATGCCTGGAATGCACTACCTGACTCTGTTGTTACATCCTCTAACCCCCACTCCTTTAACCTCAAACTAACCACTATTGACCTCACCCCATTCCTAAGAGGTCTGTAAGGGGCGTGCATAAGTGCACCATCATGCCTCCCATCCCTGTCCTATTGTCCCCATTTATTCGTACCTATTTCCTGTATTCTTACTCATATTTATACTTATATCTATTATTTCGTAAGCGATTGACAAATCAAAAATATAAAATCAAATAAATAAATAAATATTAGCCTTCTTAGTGATATACCCAATAATAAGTACAGGTAGTCCTCAACTTACAACATTTAGTCATTTACTGTTCAAAGTTACAATGCCACTGGGGGCGAAAAGTGACTTATGACCATTTTTTACACTTACGATCATTGCAGTGTCCCCATGGTCATGTGATCATTTTTGGTGACTTCTTGACAAGCAAAGTCAATGGGGAAGCCAGATTTACTCAGGCAACTGTGTTACTAAATTAAAAACTTCTGTGATTCACTTAACAAGGGTGGCAAGAAAGGCTGTGAAATGAGGCAAAACTCATTTAACAACTGTCTCATTTAGCAACATAAATTTTGGGCCCAGCTGCAGTCTTAAGACAAGGACTACCTGTATTCTATTCTAGGCCCCAAATCTGACTTCATTTAGAAACCAATCGAAGCCATGCTTATTTCCCTGAGTATTTGTGTAATAATAACTACAGTACTGCAGGACCAAACTGCCTCTGATTGCCTGCTTTTTGTTCTTTCTTAATCATTTTTAATTTTTGTATTTATAATTTTTTTTTAAAGCATTATTGCTTTACTATAATGATTTTGATACTATTTTTCCTCCCTCGTGTCTTAAATCTCCTTCAGTGGTCCACGGAAAGGAAGAGCAATATAAAAATAAAATACATCCGTATATTTAAGCATGTTTTCATTTTTCTGTTTTGGAAGGAAAGGCCTGACTATTCAGAGTTAGGGGGAGTAGCAGAACACCAGATACCCTGCTGTTTCACGGTTTCAAATACCCATCAATTCCCTTCTTGCCTCCCCTGTTTTTAAAAGCACTTTACATTTCTTTTCTAAGACCGGAAAGCAGAGTCCCAGTTTCCAAATGTCTATACTACACCCTTCTTTTCTGTTGAGCACAGCATACTTCCCAAGAGAAAAGGAGAAGTTGCCAAGTTCTTCTGAGAGACCGCCGTGCTATTTATTGATTTGATTTTTTAAAATCTTCCCTTTATTATTATTTTTAAATAACCCCAAGTGACGAACATACATAAATACTGTTTCCTCCTCCCATTTGCCCCAAAGTAACAACCCTGTGAGGTGAGGTGGGCTGAGAGTGTGTGACTGGCCCAAGGTCATCAGGCTGGCTTTCATGCCTAAAGTGGAACTAGAATTAGATCAGCATCTTAACCATTAGACCAAACCCTTCCCTCCTTCCCTCCCTCCCCTCCTCCTCCCTCCCTTCCCTCCCTCTCCTCTCCCTCCATCCCTTCCTTCTTTCCCTTCCCTCTTCCTCCCTCCCTTCCTTCACTCTCTCCCCGGTCTTCCTCCTTCCCTCCCTCCCTTCCCTCCCTCCCTCCTTCCCTTCCTTCCCCCTTCCTCCCTCCCTTCCTTCACTCTCTCTCCCCTCTTCCTCCCTCTCTCCTTCCCTTCCTTCCTTCCCTTTTTCTGATTAACAGAACTTGTGAGCTGCCATCTTGCGATGAAGCTCATGAACACTCACAATATTTCCAAATATATCCCCCAGCCCTAAAAGCACTGGTGGGTTGACTAACAGATGTGGCCTGGCCAGATAAGTTAATTTCTCAGTCAGTCAAATTTGTAGTTAAAAGTGAACAGAGAAGCATAGAATGACAAGGCTAATTCCAAGCTTGGAATAAAATACTTCTCTCCAGAAGCTTAATCACAGAGGCAACTCTAACAGGAATGCTAATGTAATTAACACCAGATCTGGGCTTAGTTTCTACATATTTTAAAAACATCTTAGGTCCAGTTTTATTAATAAGAGAAAACCAAACATTTGATAAATTGCTTGTAACCTAGTATCCTTGGTTCTTAGAGAAATGGAGAAATGGAATATTAGAATATAATAATAATCCCAATCCTAGGCCAATCCAAAGCTCGCAAGTCAAGAGCTGGGAACCTTGGGACTTAGGTTTTACCTCTCCAGGGAAATGTTGTAATATTTACCGTATTTGCCGGCATATAAGACGACTTTTTTGCCCTGAAAAACATGCCTCCAAGTGGGGGGGTCGTCTTATACGCCGGGAGGACTCCGACTCCCACTTCGAGCTTGAGTTGCAGCCGGGAGGGAGGCTGGGGGGGGGAGCGGTGTGTGTGTGTGTGTGTGTGTGTGTGGCGGGTGTCACTCGCCACGCGCTGCGCAACCTTTCCCCCTCTTCCTTCCTTAGCGGTGTGGGGAGGAGAGGATTCGAAGATCCTCACGTGCGGCGTACTTTTCTTTTTCTTTTTTTCTTTTTGCACGCAGGTTTTGCATGCGGGCGGCTGTAGGTTAAGGATGGGGGAGCCCCCGGGTGGGTTATCAGGTTTTACGGTGCTTCCAACATGTGCGAACGGTGGGAGAGCGGAGAAGAGAGCGAGCGAGCGCCCCGCTGTGTGAAATCCTGCCGTCAAAGCAACACTGGGGGAGGCAGGGTATAAATTTACCAGGTTAATGTAGCAATGGTGATTAATGCCCAGAACATTGTTTGCGGGTATTGGGGTGTGTGTGTGTGTGTGTGGTGGTGGTGGTGAGGAGAGGTTGTCCTTTGAATGCGGAAAAGTAGGTGTGACCTTGTGTAGGAAAATAAAGAGATCCTTTTTAGCGTGTTTGGCTTCTTTGCCTCCCCTCGTTCGTTTTGACGTGGAGATAATGGCCTTCGGGCGGGAGGGGAAGAAAACGGTAGCTGGATCATTTCAAATTTCACTTACTCTCCTGCCTCACTTCAATATGTCTGAGCGACTCCAGATACTGGAAGACTTTTTGAATGAAAGTGTTACCTCCATTTTTTTTTTTAAAGAGGGCCACTTGGGGAAAAAAAAAGATTCTAAGGAATTCCTTGTTTCTTGATTAAAGAGAAGGCATTGAATATACTGTTCCTTGGCAGCCTTTTCAGTGTCCGGGTTTTTGGTGTGTGTGTGTGTGTGTGTGTGTGTGTGTGTGAGAGAGAGAGAGAGAGAGAGAGAGAGAGAGAGAGAGAGAGAGAGAGAGAGAGAGAGAGATCAGCTGTATTGAGAAGAGAACGTTTCCTGTGTTCTCATTTTATTTACAACATATTTTACGCTTAATGGTAAGCAATGAAAAATATTTTTAAAACTCATTTCTAAACTCCATAGCTATTTGCATATTCTTGGTTCAAAATTGGATTAGCTCATTTCAAAATTGTCCAAAGCAGAAAAGTGCGTCAAAAAAAAAAAAGTGCAAAAGTGGAAGGTGTGTAGAAGAGGGGGTAGTCTTATACGGCGAGTATATAACAAACTCTATATTTTGAGTGGAAATGTTGGGGGGTCGTCTTATACGCCCAGTCGTCTTATACGCCGGCAAATACGGTATTTATTTATTCAAATGCGATTGATCTCGTAGTTTGAGGCGACATGGTAATATGGCTATTATCTCCCTCCCATGGCTATTACATCTTCCCAAACATTTGGTGATCTGTGGGTCAGATAGCCTGTTTCTATATGATGAAAGGAAAGCTTATGAAATTGTTTGGTTAGTGGAGTTTTACCTGAGTACCTAAAACAGCCACCGTCTTTTCTGTGACATCTGTCTATTGATTCAGCCCAGGCCCAATAAATTCCAGCTTTCCAAACTATAAGCTGTTTTTTTGCCCAACACTGTGAAGAAACTGATGAAACATAATGCTCATAGTTTATAGTCAGGATGGAGAATCTCAAGCTTTTCAGGTGCTGGTGAGCCTTCTATGCTAGCTGGGAATTGTAGCCAGCAATGTCTAAAAGGGCTGCAAATTCTTCACCTCTAATTTAGAAATTTAGAAAAGTAGACATTCAGTTGTTGAAGTAGTACTAAAATGTGTCTTTTCCATCCCCATCTCAAAAGTAATGTCTGCTCTGTACTATATTAAAATGACACTCACGATGTCCAAGTAGCACTGGCTTGCATCTATGGTATTCAGCAGTTCATAAACATGGTCCTACAAGGGGGAAATAAACATTAATGAGCATATTCAATTAATGACTAATTTATCACCTTATATTATTTAGCATTATCTCCATTATTTCGTTACACAGTCAACTCTGGACAGGATTCACATGGAATACATTATTATACCACTGATCCAAAATCAGGCAAACCAGGAATATCGACTGAGTATAAAACAGGTTTCTGTCATAAACTTTGTTGGGCTTGTAGCTTGCACAGGCTACTCATTCACAGAATATACATCTTCTTACGATGACTGCACCTCAGTGGTGGGATTCAAATTCTTTTACTACCAGTTCTGTGGGCATGGCTTGGTGGGCATGGCAGGGGAAGGATAGGGTAAAATCTCTAGTCAGAGCTGGTATTTACTGGTTCTACGAACTACTCAAAATCTCTGCTACCGGTTCTCCAGAACTGGTCAGAACCTGCTGAATACCACCTCTGCTGCACCTCCATCCATATAATAGGACATGGCTCTTGCTCCCATCCATAGGGTGAGACCTGTGACATCTGCACGTTCTTCTAAAATGAGGCAGAAGCTGTTGATAGAGATTGGAAAACAAATGGGGCACTGTATATCATCTCTCCTGGAAGTCTGCTGCTGAAATTTCCAGCAGACTGAGAAGGAGACACGATAGATTGAAGCAAAGGGAAAATCTGTTCAAAGAGCCTTCTATTTTGCAGGAATAGATTAAAAAAAACATTTAGTTAGAATTCTGCACTAGATAATTGGTCTGGTGTTCTGAGTGGTGCTAATTGTTTTCATTTCCTGAAAAATTAGGGGGATTGGATATTTCAATCTCAATTTGCATCTCTTTCTCAGGTTATGTGCCTGAAGTTATAATATTTTTCTATTATAACACTTTTGTAATCACAGCTTGGGATTCCTTCTTAGGCTCTTGCTAGAAACAAGTCACTTTATAATAAACCACTATGATCTTATAGTTTGCATGGATTTTTTTTTTAACTTTGAAAATTCCCTTTTAAGTTGCTGTTCCTAATTGGAATAGCTCGGCTCATCTTTATCAACATTAAATATTGAAATTCAGAGCTCAAATTAAAAGGGAATTTTAGATTTTTACCACTTAAAAAAATGCCGGCACATTGTGCAACAAGGTCACATAGTGTAATAAGATTGGGACTAGGGTTAGGGACTTCTGTCCTCACTGTGAGTTGTGTTGTGTGTGTGTGCACAAAGGGAGGATCAGCCAATCTCATTGTACACATGTTATACTTTGACAATAAAGGTAATAATACTCTTATTTTTAAAAATAAAACTGATTTTATTTATCTCCCAAGAAAGAGGAGAAAGAATGACTGGTATTTCTAATAACCTAATCAAAACTATACAGCTAAAAGACGGCATGGTAGACATTATTTCATTTTCTCTATTTTTATCTTTTAAATGTCAGGAAAGCGGTATGGGAGCCTTATCTCTCTTATACCTCACAAACTAGATGGAGGACAGTAGAAGAGATATCCTATGGGAGAAATGCATAGTAGTAACTACAAGCAGCTATGCCAAAACAGGATCAGAGTAGGGTATATCCAATCCATTATGCTTTTGAAAATGGAGGTTCAAAACTTCCAGCCTTTGGGATGATAATATGAATTGTTATACAATAAATTAAGTAAATTATGGTTATCTTGTAAAACATGAATGAATAAAAGTATAGTCAAATGATTGATTAATAATGATATTAAGGTATTTAGTTTTTGATTGACAATATGAGATTATATGTAATGTAATTGTAATTGAAGACTACGAAATGGAAGCACAAAACAATTTGTAAACCAACCGGCACACTGTATGTACACCTATGGAAGACAGCTTGATGTTTTTATGTTTTCTTTGTTTATGTTTGTTTTTAAAAACCAATAAAATCTTTTTTAAAAAAAACTTCCAGCCTTGAATGCTAGAGGCTCAGCCTTGCTACTATATCCTTATTTATCTTTAAAAGCTACATGAATCATGTCTAATTTTACTCTGACAAATCTTTGCTTTCTGGCCATAGACAGAAAATCTATACCTGTAAACATTATTACCTTTTCATTTCCATTATCATTTTCTATGCTATAGGAACATTCAGGTTTTTTGAGGGGGAGAGGAGAGGAAATTTAGTACTTTTGTAGCTTTAAAGCATGGGAAAGTTTTGTCTCTGTTTATTTACATGTCAATTGTACAATTGTACATATGCCTCATAACAAACCAAATGAACATAATAATAAGCTGGGCTATGACCTGTAGTCTGAACTTAATCACATGCAGCATTTTGTGCTAGCAGTAAAGACAATGTCAGCCAGTTTGAGTATACTTTGGCCAGCATGCTGGAAGCACAACTAAAGCCCAATTTTACTCCAAGCATATTCAGAACTAACTGCAAGTTAGTATATATTATATATTAAATGATATAATGATAATATATTATCATTATATATATTATTTTGATCCACAATAAGCAGACTTCTATGGGAAAACTAATAAAATATGACTTATTCAAGGCTGGATAGGGTAATAGCAAGAAGCCAGAAATTTGTGATTAATATTTTGACATTTTCTAACAAGTAAACAATGGCCATGATACAATGTGGCCTGTTTTGCAGGTCATTGTTCTGTTGCCAGTAAAGAGACTCGCAGACCAGTGTGGCTATTCTGTCTCAGTATTTTTCCATAAGAGAAATCCTGCTCA